AGCCCCACAGACTAACCCCGGTGCCCCCAGTCATGACCCCAGCTCCCCTGCTCTTCAGAGTGGACGAGTAGGCCGCCAGCCTCCCCTCTGAGCGCGGACACCTGTCGAGGTGTACAGCTGTCCAGAGCCGGGGGGGGGGGCCTGGGGCCCCTCCCACCAGAGGGACCTGCTGCCGCCCCAGGCCAAGCCTGAGCCACCCACATGCCTCACAACTAGGTGTGGGGGCAGAACAATGTCCCTGAAGATGTCTGCATCCCAGTCCCTGGGACCTGTGAACATGGTGCTTACATGGCAAGTCGGGTTGTTTGGGACCGAGATGGGGATGGTCCGGGATTAGCAGGACCCCGTGCAGTTCCAAGGGTCCTGACAGGGAGGCAGGAGGTCACAGCTGGAGAGACAGGAGCACACAGGCAGGGGTCGGAGGGATCGGAAGGGGCCGCGCTGCCGACTTGAGGCTGGACCAAGTCCCAGCCCTGACTGAGGTGCTTCAACGCCAGAGCCTCCCAAGGGGACACATCGCTGTTGGGCTTTTTTTTTTGAGACGGAGTCTTGTTTTGTTGCCCAGGCTGGAGTGCAGTGGCACAACCTCGGCTCACTGCAACCTCCGCCTCCTGGGTTCAAGCGATTCTCCTGCCTCAGCCTCCCGAGTAGCTGGGACTACAGGCGTCCACCAACACACTTGGCTGTTTGTATTTTTAATAGAGACGGGGTTTCACCATATTGGCCAGGCTGGTCTTGATCTCCTGACCTCATGATCTGCCTGCCTCAGCCTCCCAAAGTGCTGGGATTACAGGCGTGAGCCACTGCGCCCAGCCTCTGTTGAGCTATTTATAATTTGAGAGAGGGTATTGCTCTGCCTCCCAGGCTAAGTGCAGTGGTGCCATCATAGCGCACGGCAGCCTCTATCTCCCAGGCTCAAGCGATCCTCCTGCCTCAGCCTCCCGAGTAGCTGGGACTACAGGTGCATACCACCACACCAGGGTAATTTAAAAACAATTTTTTTTGGTAGAGATAGAGTTTCACTACGTTGCCAGGGCTGGCCTCAGGCGATCCTCCCACCTTGGCCTCCCAAACTGCCGGGATGACAGGTGTGGGCCATCCTGTCTGGCTTGGGCCCCTTGTAGACTCTGCTCTGGAATAGTAATGCTTGCGGTGCTTTAAGCCACTGGGCTTACAGTAATCTATTAGTGTGGCCAGAGGAACCGACACAGGAAGCTTCAGGACGAAGGCGGTTTGCCTTGCTCCTGAGGCCTGGGTGGAACAGGGCCAGCGCTGAATTCCAGTACAAGGCCTGTGCACACGAGACCCCGCACATCGGCTCTGGGGCTGCAGACCCGACCCTGGGGGCCTCCAGGCCTCCAGGTCAGACCTCCCCTCCTGGGAAGCAACACCGGGGCGG